TGCCTCCCTCCCTCCCTCCCTCTCTCTCTCTCTCTCTCTTTCACACACACACACGCACACACACTAGAATATGTTTTATCTTCATTTTCTCTTTTGTATTCTTGGAGTGTACCAGTAGAAAAATTCCTGAGATAACTTTTTTTTTTTTACAATGTTAGCTTTGTAGTAATGTGTTGACAAAACTTGTCTTCTTTTTGCCATAGATGAAGAATAAAATCTTTCAATTTGTCATTCACTGTGCGACCTAACTTTAGTTTTAACAGAATTGGTGATTAAAAAAATGACAAAAATTATGTAATCTAACCAATTATTTCTGAGCAGGATACATTTAAACCAAACAGACACATGTCTGTGGTTTTGTTTTGTTGTTGTTTTTTTTTTTTCTTTTAAGTTCCCTAGGAAATGACTTAGACATAATGATGACTTTTGGTTGCTTTTCCTACTTACTTGTTTGAATTCTTTTTTTCTTAATTAGTTTCTCATTTTTCAACTCTTTCTTTCTCTATTTGAGAGACAAGCCCCCTAGTTCAGAGAAGAGTCCTAGATTTGGGGTTAACTGACTTCAGTCTTGGTTCTACTACTGATGCATATGACCCTAGTCAAATCATAACTTCTCTGGACCTCAATTTTTTCCTGAGGTCCTTTCCAGCTTTAAATCTATTATTTACTATTCATGATTTAAGAGATACTTTCTGTGTTCATTTTAAAATTTCAGTCACTTTTAGGATTTTTCTCCCTTTAATTTTTATTTTGTCTAGTTTTCAGAGTTAGGTGAAGTGAAGATTTATGAACGGATTTCCTATGCAGACTGGCTATACAGGAAAGAGACCATGAATGATTTGGAAAGGAAGGGGGGGAGTGGAAAGAAGGAAGTAAATATGACCTTTCTATTTAATTAAACTATCTCTCTCCCCAACATAACCTCCTACAATAGTTGGAAGTAAGTGGGTGGAGGAGAAGAATGTTATTTAAAATTAGGGCTTAAAAATAGAGTACTTATAAAAATCTGTGGCTCTTTTTACAGTAAATATTTTGTACCGAGAAATTGCTTATTTTCTATATTTGTTGCTACCTGTAATTCGTTGCAAAAATGAAGTAACATTTTGGAATTAGAAACTTAAGATCAAAAGGTTCATTCAGAAATAGAAGTTACTTTAACAGTAACCTCCTGACTATACTTTGTAGATGAAGGAACAGGAGTAAAGAAATTAAATAACTTGCTTAGTTAAGATCACATGGATAATAGTAAAACAAAAATAAAAATTCATGTTCTCTCACTGTTCCATGGCTCAGTACTACTTTACATAGGTCTTTGTTAAAAGACAAACATTTTATTGATGCCTTTTGTCTTTATACCACAGTCATTTCAATCCCTCCTTGGAGACAAGGAAAAACAAAAAAAAATACCTGATAGTGACTGTTTCACACTTTCTCTCTCTCTCTCTCTCTCCACACTCACACACACACACATATATATACACACACATATACACATATACATACACATATACACATATACATACACACACACATATACACATATACATACACACACACACACACACACACACACACATATATATATATATATATATATATATACACACACACACTGTCCTAGGAGTTCTCTACTTGTCTGTCTTAAGTGCAGAGGTAAATTTTTGGTTTTTCAGTTATTAATTTTGATTTCCTTTTAGTAATTTTTTCATTTACATTGTGATTCATTGTCATTGTGATTATTCTTTTGGCTTTCTGTTTTTCACTCTTCATAAAGATCTTCCCATCTTGCTCTGAATCCCTCATATTCATCATTTATTACTGTACATAATATTCCATTGTCCACACATCCATTCATTTGCCAAGTCTTGTCAAATCTGCCTCCATAATCTACCTCCATAATGGCTCTGTTCTCTCTACTTAGTTCGCATCATTTTAGTTCAGTTTAAATCACTTCATTATTTTAGTCCTCTCCTCCTTTACTTGGGTTTCTCAGACTATGACCTTTTTTCCTTGCTACTCCAATATCCTCTATTTGAGCCCTTGATCTCATCCTTTCTTATTGCCTCTGACAGCCCTCCCTTTCAGTCATGCTTCTTTTTCTCTGTAATTTTCAACCTCTACCTATCAACTAGTAACTAGATCTCTCCCGTGCTTAAATTATCATATAACCTTACCCTCTCTTCAAATTATCCTGTATCTCTCCTTCCTTTCATATCCAATCTCTAAGAAAAAACTGTCTGTAATTGTAGCCTCTATTTCCTTACCTTATACTCTGTTTTCAACACCTTGCAATATGGCTTCCACCACTACTTAACTAATCCTTTTTTCTCCCCAAATCACCAATTATCTCTTTATTGCTAAATTCAGTGGTCTTTACTCATTCTTCATCCTTCTCGTCCTCCCTGCAGCTGTTGACCACTCTTTTCTTTTGGATACTTTATTCCCTGATTTTTTGTGAAGTTTGTTACTCCTTCCTACCTGTTCTCTTCCTACCTGTAGGAATGACTTTTTTCCAACCTCCTTTTTAGAATTATCAACCACTCTTGACCCCTTTGTGTAATTGTACCCAAGAGATATATCCTGGTCTCTCTGTATTCTCTATCTCTATTCTCGTCTCTCTCTGCAGCCCCTCTCTCAGTTATCTCATCAGGTCCCATTAATTCTGCTATGATATCTATTAAGATGACTTCCACATCCATATATCCAGTGCTCATTTCACTTCTGAGTTAGATAATTTAGCAGACACTTAGAAATGAGAAACTATCTCTACTTGAATTTTCTGTAGACACCTCAAACTCAGCATGTCCAGTTTCAAACTTATTATCTCTTCTCATCTCAACCTTCCCCTTAGCTTCCCTTTTTCTGTCAAGGAAAGAACCATTCTTTTACTTATTCAAGTTCAAAAGGGGTCAGCCTCAGCCTTTCATCATATTTTACTCTCATCTCCAAAACTAGTTGCCAATTCTTGTCTATTCTCCTTCTTCATTGTCTCTTACATATACTTCCTTCTTTCTACTTATAACCACACTAGTTCACACTATTGTCCAGGTCTTTTCATTGGTTTCCCTGCTTCGTCTCTAATCAGTCCTCCACATAGTTGCCAAATTTATGTTCCTAAATAAAGCACAGATCTGACCATGTCATTTCCTTATTTAAGAAATTTTAATGGCTTGCTATTGGCTCTAGTATAGTATTTATTAATTTTCTGTGCCAGGCATTGTACTAGTTGCTAGAAATCATTTAGTAATTAAAGCCCTTTATAATCTGGCTTCCCTCAATTTTTCCAGGCTAATTACACATTTTTCCTCTCCTACTCTGTGTTCCAGACAAATGGCCTACTCACTATTCCCCTTACATGATATTCCATTTTCTATTTCTATTCTTTTGCACAGGCTACTACCTTCATGTCTAGAATGCTCTGCCTCTTAAAACCCATCCAGGATGACAGGGTGATGAGAAGCCCTGCCACCACTGGGTATACCCTTCCTCCTTTGCTTCTCCTCCTTCCCCTCCTTTCTCCCAGCCTCCCTAGACCAAGCAACCCAGACCCCATCTGGACTGCCTGACTATTCACATAGCTTAGACAGTATGGGAATCATCAAGTCCATTCCTTCTGGTGAGATGAAGAACCATCAGGCCTTATTATCTGCTCAGTTTCTACTATGCCCTGCAGGCCCATCATTGTCATCATCTTACTAAAGTAAACCTACCCACTATATTCCCCAATACTGTACCCAGATCTGAGGTTTTACATTCGTCCTACAGCTGAACTTTCTCTTATGGGTTGTCTCTCCCAAGGAGTGTGAATTCTTTCAGAGCAGGAATTATCTAGCCTTTTCTATTTGGATCTTTAGCATTTAACACAATGTTTGGCACATAATGAGTGCTTAAGAAATGATGTTTTCATGCATTCTAATTTCAAGGTTCAGCTCAGTTGCCACTTCCTTTAGAAGGCCTTTCTTGATTTTCTCAGTTTTGCCTTGTGCCCAAATCACTATATCTTTTGGGGGGGGGGAGCACTAGGCAGTGGGGTTAAGTGACTTGCCCGGGATCACACAACTAGTAAGTGTCAAGTGTCTGAGGTGGGATTTGAACTCAGGTCCTCCTGACTCCAGGGCTGGTGCTCTATCCACTGTGCCACCTAACTGCCCCCAAATCACTATATCTTTTTACATACTTTATTTATTTAGCAGTAGGATATACTCTTCTTAAAGGCAGGATCTCTTTTATACTTGCAACTCTAATATCCATGTGGTGCCTGGCGATCAAGAAGTGCTTTTAATTGACTCATATAAAATGACTACACCGTTGAAATGTCATAAATTTCTTGCATTGAATCAAGGTACTTTGTAATAGAGATATTTTTAGGCGTTCTCATATCTAGATTTTTAAATGTTGGTTTTTTTCTGTAGCAAATACAAGATCTAAGCCATTTGGGGCCTTTGTGATAATTCTTTACCTTAAAGGTTCTCTACTAATTTTCCTGGGATTTGTCTTTTGAGGAAAAGAAGCACTTTATACACACACACACACACACACACACACACGCAGACACACACACTCTTTAGTCTTTTAAAAATATTCGTTTTGTGATTAATAAAATTTTTAGCTCTTCATTTCTGGAATTCCTACAGTTTTATTTTAAGAAAGTAGTGAATCTTCCATGTTGCTAACTTTTCTAACTTTGGTGAATCATAGTTTAGATTTATAGCTGGAAGAAGTTTTAGAGGATGAATAGAAAACAGAGCTGAAACCTTATTTTACATTTTTATCTATGGCCACCGTATTACACACAGGCTGCAAAAAGCAGTCTGCATGCCTAAAATGTTAATAGGTTACCTATTAAATACTGGTAAGGACACAGGGCTCTTTCTCCCTAAAATCCCCATCCTTGAGCTTCCTCAGTTCGTAGAAATGGCAGAAATTGTGTACCTAAATTCAGGTGATTGTCTAGCCACTGCATGTGAAGTAAAATGTCCTTTCCTTTTTGTGTCTTTCAGAAGCGCTGCACCGTCCCTATGGCTGTGAAGTTGAGTCCCAGGCACTGAACGAAGCCATCAGGTGGAGCTCCAAGGAGAATTTGCTTGGAGCCACTGAGAGTGACCCCAATCTCTTTGTTGCACTTTATGATTTTGTTGCAAGTGGTGACAACACACTCAGCATCACCAAAGGTACAGTTATGGGGGTAGTTTTTATCCCTTTCACTTTGATGCAGAAAATATTGTTATCAGTTCGTAGAATCTTAGCCTTTAAGAGCTAAAAAGGAACCTTGAAAACCATCTTATTTTAGAGATGAGGAAATCAAAGTCCAAAGTGGTCATTTGACTTGCCCAAGATTGCATAGTTAATGAGTGGTAGAACTCTAATTCGCTTCCCTAGAGTACCTCCCATTACTCCTCAGTTTCCCCCTGAGCCTGGGCCTGGCTGTACCACTATTTAACTAGGGCACAGTTTCCTCACCAGCAGAATGAAGATAATACCTGCTTTGCCGACGTCACAAGGAGTTGATTTGAAGAATAAATGATGTATTTATGAGAACATTTGTAAAGAAGTTAAACCCTTATATACAAATACATAATGCGTTGTTAATGACAATAATAATAATAATAATACAACCAGAATTATGGTCTTTGTATATGATAATGTTGTTGTTATTTGCCTCAGAGAAATAAAGAAAACTGACTTAATATGCTTCCACCCCCATTGAATCCTAACTTGGAGAAGGTGATTTTTGTTACCTAAATGATACATATCTTTATCACTTAGTGGCAGAATAATGAGCAAGGTGGAAGAAAGGCTTTTCATTTAGAAACTTTCTCAAAATGAGATGTAGTTTGTTTCCATTGTAGAGGTAAAAAATGAAGTAAATAGTAACCGTCATCCAGCCTTTGGCACAGTTCCTGGCACATGGTTTGGCACTAGGAAGGGAACAAAGTAAAAGTCACTCATTATAGGATTCCGAATGAATACACAGAATGTATCCATCCATGGCAGCTAAGAAGTACCATGAATAGAGCATGGGGCCTAGAGTCAGGACTATTCAAGTTCAGATTCAGCCTCAGACACTTGCTGTGTGATTTTTTGGGGGGAAAGTCACTAGATCTGTTTGCCTCAATTTCCTCATCTCTAAAATGGGCATAATAATAGCACCTATTTCCCAGGTCGTGTGAGGATCAAGGGACATAATAATTGTAATGGGTTTAGCACAGTGCCTGGCACAGAGTAAGTACTATATAAATTTTAACTATTTTTATTATCATCATCATCACCATTATTGTTATGATGATGATGATGATGATGTATAGAGAGATTGTAACTGTGGTATCAAACTCAAATAGAAGTGAATCTCTAAGGGACCACATGTTGACTTAGTAAACCACAAATTAACATTATCTTTGTTATAATTGTATTTTTATTCATTTTATTAAACATTTCCCAATTATATTTTTATCTAGTTGGGCTGCACTCTGAAGTTTCACAAGCTGAAAGTTTGACACCTCTAGTATATTTTGTCTTAAATGTGCTTAATAGGACTTAATATGTTCTGGGTTTCTTTTAGAAGAACTATGCCTTCATGTTTCCTACAGGGAGAAGAGTTTATAACTCTCATCAATATGTTCAAGGATCTGTGATTTTCTCAGTGGAAGGAGTTCCTCCACAAATATAGATCCCACCAAGTAGAAGTCGTAAGAAGTTACCTGAGACTTGGAGGTTTAGTGACTGGCCCTTGGTTACATAGCTCATAAGAATGACACTGTGATCATAGAATCTGAAGTCTAAAGCTTGAAGGGACCTCCAAGGTTATCCACTTAAACCTCCTCATTTTACAGATGAAAAAAGTGAGGCCCAGGGAAGGGTAGGTGACTTGCCCAATCATACAGGGTAGGATTTGAATCCAGATCCATTCACTCTGGAGCCAGTGGAGTTTGAGAGAAAAGGCTTTCCACTCTGCTCTGATTATCTTTAGCTTCAGATTTCTTCATCTGTAAAATAAGGGAGTTGAACTAAGTAACCTTCAGGTCAGTCAGTCAACAGTCATTTTTTTAAGTGCCTACTATTTTCCAGACACTGTGCTAAGCCCTGGGGATGTAAAGAAAGACAGTCCTCGCCTCAAGGAGCTCATACTCTAATGGGGAAGGGAACATGCAAATGACTGTGTACATACAAATCTGAAGAAATCTTAGAGGGAAGGGATTAGCATTAAGAGGGATGTGGAAAGGCCTCTTGCAGAGATGGGATTTTAGCTGAGATTTAGAAGAAGCCAGGAGGGAGAGCGTTTCAGGCATGAGGGACAGCCAGGGCAAATGCACAGAGGCAAGAGATGAAGAATCAGTGTCATGTTCAAGGAACAAGAAGAAGGCTTATTGAATTGTGCTACAAGAATGTAATGGAATATTATAAAATTTCCATGATGCAGCTAAAGCAGTCCTCAGGAGAATTACATCCCTGAGGAGCCAGGCATAAATGTGGTACTCTTCTTTTTCTCTTCAGGCAATACGATACTTTGACATTATAGTTTGGCAGTGGTTGAGATTTGTCCACACCAACCACTCTGCCAAAGGTCTCACTATCTCCTCAGGCAGCAGTTACTGAAGTTTTAAAAGGTACCCATAAATGATCCAAATTCTTTCTGTGGATCAGAGTGTGAGTCTGAAGTTCCTAGATTCAGAACAGGACACAGAGTCTAGGGATCTGATCATCTTCATAGAAGAGTTTCAGGACTTCCTGGGCCTGGCATCTTGTCCGTCTGGACTTTGGAAATAGTAATGCCTCGGCTGCTTGACAATATCAGCCTGTTAGCTTAGATTTTAAAAGGATCTTTTAATTCTTAAATTCTGTGATTCTATAAATGTCAGAGATAGGATTTGAATCCAGGTCTTCTGATTCTTTGCACAGCATTGCTTCTAATTGATTTTTTTTTTTTTATCACTCTAATCATCACCCACAAAAAACTGCCAGCCATTTATTACACGCTTGTTATTTGGCAAACAATGTAACAAGAACATGTAGAGAGGAAGCATTGTTTTCCTTCATAACTTCGTTAATACTAATAGCAGCGATTTCAGTTTTGCTTGAAGCAAATACTTTTGTGATATCCCTTAATAATTTTGTATGCATGTTCGTACATTTTGTTAAAAGTGATCAATAAGAGTATCCATATGTATTGCATATAAACCCATGGATAAAATATTTACAATTTGCATATCTACTTATATTTTTTCTTATATGCCACAGAGCAGATATTATACTGTACATATATGTGCAAGTCTACATAAGTCCTGAATAATTTTTGTGTCATTTGGTAAAATGTTATAATTCTGATATTTCAGATGAAGTACAAGTAATCAAAAACTTTCCATTGGAATTAAGATTATATTGCAGTAAAGTATCAATTCTTTATTCTTATACCTTCCCATATTTCCGTAAATGAAAACATTTCACAAGGATTTCCTTGTAAATTTAGCAGAACAAGAAACTAGAACCCTCATCCCAAACCCTACTTTGATGCCTCATTGTGTTGTAGAGAGACTAAAATTTTTAAAGATGTTACCAGTAGAGTCCATCTTATTGTCAAAATACAGACTCAGTGGTATAGTGCTTATCTGTCTCCTGAAAAATAGCCTAGCCCAGTGTAGACAGGCTCTTCATCGGAAGGCGCTGGCAGCTAATGGAATAGAATCTGTATTAGTGGAAAAGGAAAATACCCATACTAGTGAAGTCACAGATCTTTCAAAATAATGGAAAGAACGTGGAGGTCACTCATTTCATACGGTTGCCAATTTTTGCCCTAGTGATTAATTTTCTTTTTTAAAATCTAAGTTATTCTGTAGTGATATCAAAGGGTTGTGCTTTCAGTTGTTATGGTCCTCAAATTTTAAATTTTCTCTCTTTTATGTGTCAGTTCCTTTTCTTTTCCAGTGTGCATAATTTGTTAATAAATCAGATTGTGATTTCACCAAATTTTAATTTCATTTTAAAGTTTCTTATTAAGCACTTCTTTGTTGCTAATCTTTGTCTAGGTGAGAAGCTTCGAGTCCTAGGTTACAACCAGAATGGTGAGTGGAGTGAGGTACGCTCTAAGAATGGGCAGGGGTGGGTGCCAAGCAACTATATCACCCCAGTGAACAGCCTGGAGAAGCATTCCTGGTACCATGGGCCAGTGTCCCGAAGTGCAGCAGAATATCTGCTTAGCAGCCTTATCAACGGCAGCTTCCTTGTGCGGGAAAGTGAGAGCAGCCCAGGGCAATTATCCATCTCGCTTAGGTACGAGGGACGTGTATACCACTACAGGATCAATACCACCACAGATGGAAAGGTAAGACATCTCTACAGACACCTCATGTGAGCTAAGAGGCAGAGTGCTAGAAACAGAAGATCTTAGATCTTCTGCACTTAGAAGATCTAGATTTGGATCTAGGTTTTGGATTCAATTAATGACTGTGCGGTTTTGGAGTCAATAATTCATATTTAACCTCCAAGCCTCAATTTTCCCTCCTATTGTATGAGTATAACACCAACACTACTTGCTTCCAAATAGTGGTAATATTGTAAGCATCAAATATGTGCCGAAATACCTTCTAAATGTAAAGCGTTAAATAGATGAAAGCCATTAATATATATAAGTATCAGAAGAGCTAAAATTAAACATCCTTAACATTTAGCAAATAAAGGCAACTTCTTTTTGGTATATTTATTTGTTTGTTTTTTCAGCATATAATTTATTTTCCCATAGACTTTTAGGTAGCCTTGTAGACAATTCCATTATCTGTATTCTTGAGGACATGCTCTGACAAATGATAAAATATCCTTTTTACTTTCTGAGTACAGGGTCTGTTACTTATTAGGAAGAGAAGTTGGTTTAAAAAAATCATGGATGGTGAATTTTGTGTTTATAAAGTGACTTGAAATTGTGGCATATTGATCTTACTAGAATGTAGCCTAGAACAGTTTTTCAGTATGTTAGGTGAGTCTTGTAGTGTTTCAAGGATCCTCATTTCATGAAAATAAATATTTCCTGTGCTAATATGTGCCCAGCAATCTCTTATGACTTAGTAGAGGTCATTAAAGAGCTTCTGTAACTAAAATATTTTATTATCTGGTGGTCACCCTTCTGGTGATGAACCTCTCCAAGCTTAGGCTGGTCTAGAGATAACAGGCTTAGTCTTCATTTTGTTCCTGGGCAATGCTGAGAACATTTGCAACTTGATAAAAGCTGCCTGAGTTTACTAGCTTACTCTTCTAACTTCATTTACATAGTCTTAAGAGCACAGAGGTCATTTCCCAAACCACAGTGAACCATCTCAATGGAACTTCAGTGGATGATGCCTTGCTGTACTCAAGAAATAATGCATCATAACATTTTATAGGATGAAGGATTCCTAGACATTTGTCTAGTTTAATTCCTGGTTAAAGATGGAAAACCAAAGCCTGGAGAGGTTAAGTTACTTTCCCTAGGTCATGTAGTTAATTTTTGACAGAACTGGGACTCAAATCCAGGCTCTCAATAACAATCCAGGCTCTACCATATTTTCCAGAAAATCAGTTTTTCAAAATTTCAGTATTTCTCTAATTTAAAATTTTTTAATATATTAAATAAGCTGGAAGGGATCTCTTTATTGTAAATAGTTTGTAAGGTCAAGTAATCTTCCCATAATGTGTGTAAGTTCACATTAATATCCTTTTGTCTTAAAGTAGGACATATCTATATTGGCTAATATTAGTAGACTGGGTAGAATAAAGTAGTTAATTAACTTTAAGGGATTGGGATACTGGGAACTATATTGTTAATGAAATCTAATTTGTATTACTATACTTAAAGGGGAGATGATAGATAAAACAACAAATCCCAAACTAAGTACGTGAGATTGATTTTAAAAGGATTGTCTGTCTCTCTCTGTCTCTAAAGGTTGTCAGACAGTTCAGAAATTAGTAAGCCATCTTGATTGCTGGAGCTCATGTTGAGCATTTTGCTTATCATTCTAGGATATTGGTATGAATAGATGTATCATTAATACTTGACTCTTCTTATAAAATCATTTACAATTGATTAAAGTCTTCCTTACAGAAATATTTACTACACAGAGGTTAGCTTTTGAATAGCTTCTCTCCTATTTGTTACTGCAGAACAACAGAAATATGGTTTCTGTCATTTTATCCCATCCTGTGAATATGTACAACCAAATAATTGGGCTATAAAATTCAAATAAATGAAAATTTGACTACTCCAAAAGAATGTCTTAGCCTTCTCCCATATTTCCCCTGGGTCAGTAAGTTATATTGTTTATAAATACACGGGATTGGAAAGGTCCTGTTATGCAGGCAACAAAATGGTCTAGCCAGCTGGTGTCAAACTCAGATAGAAACAGGGACCACTAAGCTGTGCCTAAGGATCCCTGCGGGCCAAATATTGACTTAGTTTTAAAATGTAATGTTATCTGTGTCTTACTGTATTTTTATTTATTTTGTTAAATATTTCCCAATTACATTTTAATCTGGTTTGGGCCGCACTCAAAGTTTTGTGGGCCGTGTGTTTGACACCTCTGATTTAGACCAGTGATTCTCAAAGATTATGCTAAGAGTTTCTTTAAATGTGCCACAAAATTTTGAATATTCTATCCGTGCAGCTAAAAGGAAATTTATAAATTTTGTTTAGTATAAATTTTTCTTACCCAGCATGCTGTGTAGAAAGCATATTATTCACAAAATTAAAAAAAAAACTTACCAATACATATATTTACTAACCTCAACGCGTTCGACCCTGAACTCAAAAAGAATTCACAAAAACACACGCTCTTATGATGGAAAATTGTGAATGCACAATTTTTCTGACCCTCTCATAGGGTTCCAACTTAGATACTGCTAAAGTGCTTGCAGTTCCTCATGACAAAGAATGCTGTGCTGGGAACACAAAAAGTTCAGGACCCACTGGTCTAGATAGATGAGGTATTTGTAAAGGCACGGAGAGTGCAGGTGAATTGAAGTGTTACGCTTCTTCGGTCTCATCGAAGTTTTTCATGTAATCTTTGAATATTAAACTCTTTCAATTTTGGCCCAGTGAAGATACTTGTCTTTTACTCTTGAGTCGTTTTTTCATTTCCTGCCTCCCCTCGGCCTCCATTTTGTCTCAGGTGTATGTGACAGCAGAAAGCCGATTCAGCACTTTGGCAGAACTTGTTCATCATCACTCCACAGTGGCTGATGGGCTGGTGACGACCTTGCACTACCCAGCACCAAAGTGCAATAAGCCTACGGTCTATGGAGTGTCCCCCATCCACGACAAGTGGGAAATGGAGCGAACTGATATCACCATGAAGCACAAACTCGGGGGTGGCCAATATGGTGAGGTATATGTTGGCGTCTGGAAGAAATACAGTCTTACTGTTGCTGTGAAAACGCTAAAGGTGGGTAGACTGAGCTCAGTCACTTGGAAATATCAGCGTGTCCTTGCCTTTAGAATGCTTTCTACCCACTGGTGCCAAACACTTCAGCAAACTGTGATAGTTAACCTCGGGTCCTTTCCCGAAGGTGTAGTTGCACGTTATCTTAGTGGAGACTGTTCACTGCATTGCAGAGAAAACCACGTGGGAGAGTCTGACTGTGGGGGCACATGATGTTGCTGTCAGTGGGAAGTTCGAAATGAATTTCATCTTTTCAAATGAGAGAATTTTTTTTTTGCATGCCCCTTGCTAGTCAGGGTTTCTGCTGGTGTTGTTGAATCACGGTTTTAGGATGAAGCTGATAGAGCTTCACTTTAATGATACAGTTTATATTCTCTTTATTCTGTGTTCTTGCCACTACTCTCACCTATTCTCTTCTCTTCAACCTAGTCTAAATCAGTGTTTCTACTCTCATCCCAACCTAATAGATGCTGAGAGTTTCTTTAAGTGTGCCGCCAAATGTGTACGTGTATAACAGGTTTTACAAAACATTTTCTTTCCAATTTTGCATTAAGTAGCGTAGGTATTATGATGTCCATTTTACGAATAAGGAAACATGCTTGCAGCACTGTTAATCCCACCTCATTTTGAATACTGTCTTTTCCCTTGATTTTTGTGACTGGTGTCTCCTGGTTCTCTTTCTCTGGCCTCTCTTCAGTCGTCTTTGACGGATCATCCTCTGTGACCCTGTTTTTTATATGTGGTTTCATATAAAGTTCTGTCCTGGGTCCTCCTCTCTTCATGCATTCTCTCTCAGTGACCTCAGCAGCTTCTGTGGCTGCTGATGACTCTCAGTTCTGTGTATCCAGGCCTGGGCTTCAGTTCTGAATCACCGTCTCACTGCCTACTAGACATTTCCACCTAAATGTTCTATTGGTATCTCAGATCCTACCGTATTCAGAATTCATTCTTTACCCCAAACAGTGCCTCTTGCAAAGTTGTCTATCTTGGTCAGTCACTTAGACAACCCAGGAGTCATCTGCTATACTTCCTTCTCTTTCATCCCCCGCCCCCACATACCCAGTCAGTTGTCAAGTCTTATCAAGTCTACCTCCATAGCATCTTTTACAACCACCCTAGTTCAGGCCCTTAATTATGTTACATCTGGATTATTGCACTAGCCTCATAATTGGTCTTCCCTGTCTTCTCTACTTTCTCCAATCAGTACTCCACATAGCTGGCAAATTAAGTTTCAATGAATAATACAGTGAATCTCTACTTTTTCTAATCTGTACTCCACATACTTGGTGAGTTCATATTCCTAAAGGTCAGGTCCGACCATGCCATATAGTAAACTAAAAGAAGTATTTGGAATCCGTGTGTCAGAATTCATCTCCTATTTTGGCTTTTATGTTTGAAGGTGGAGTGGCAGAGAGGTAAGCTGACCTTGAGTAACTAAGAAAGGGTATTTTCCCTCTTTTTTTTTTTCTTTTCTTTTTAGGAAGACACCATGGAGGTGGAAGAATTCCTTAAAGAAGCTGCTGTGATGAAAGAAATCAAGCATCCTAACCTAGTACAGCTACTGGGTAAGGTTTCCTTATCTTTTTGCCACATTTCCCCAGATCCTTTGGTCTGCACTCTAATTTCTAACTGTCTTTTTGAAAACACTGTAATGGAAACTCTCCGAATGGATCTTTTCTAAAAAGGTGTCATTGCAGGCTTTCTTATATAACTTATGTACTTGGTTGAGAATTGCCTGAGAAACTAACAGCCTTGACTTAATTAAAAAATGTTACTGTGGTTCATGAAGATAAGTCAGTAGCATTATATACTTTTACTTGAATCAGTAGGGGCACCAGATAGAGCAGAGCAGAGCTGAGAGGAAGCAAGACAACAGGGCCAAGGAGTTGGAGCTATGCCCAGTTATCTAGGCGGGACTCTACCCTTTGTGCTAACGCAAAGGGCTTTCCCCGTGCTTGTCTTATACTTTGATTATATTATGTCCTCCTAATTTGTCCCTTTAGCTATTTTCTGCTTGTTTTCAACTTGTTTCTCCTTTTGATACTTATATATTTCTCTCCCTTACTCTTGTCCTCGCTCTATTAAAATTCAAACAGAAATGGTCTCAGAAATTAATTAATCTTTTTTGTTTGTATATGGGTAAGACTCTCCCAGCAATGGACTGTCTGCTTTCTCAGGATCAGTCTAAGTGCAGAGAGGCTCGTCACCATTAGGCTTCTTGGTGATGGGTGCTTTTACCATTTCAACCAGTGAAATAAAGAAAAATCTCTCTCCCCTTCTCTCTCTCTCTCTTTCTCTCTCTCTTTGTCACACACACACACACACACACACACACACACACACACACTCACTCACTCACTCACTCACTCACATGTACCCATGCATGCTTGGGCCCTTTTTACTTTTTCGGTGATGCTGAGAATCCACTGGAGAAAAACCAAGAAGATGGTCTACAAGGATTTGATTAATCAATGAATAAACAAGTATTTATGAAGCACCTTGAGTGCTAGGTGCTAAGCATACAAAGACAAAAATCAAATAGTCCCTGATTTCTAACAGGAGAAACAAGATGGACATATATAGGCACATATAAAACATACAGAGCCAAATCCAACCTAACTTTGAAGGAGAAAGGTATGAGATGCTCTTGTAGGAACCAGAAAAGGCCACATTTAGAAGATCTTGAGCTAAGTCTTGGCAGTCGAGTTGTCTTTAAAAAGTGGGAGAGACAAGGCGGGGGACAGCCAGTCCAAAGTTATGCAGAAAGGAGATAAAATATTCTATGTGAGGAACAGCAGGATCAGTTTGTCTGAACTGTGGAGTATATGGGAAAAAGTAATGTATGCTGGAGAAGTGGAATGGGGCCCGGTTATCAAGAGCTGTCAGCTCACTTGAGTATTCAGTAGAGGCCAGAATATCACAAGAAATAGTTTAGTCCTATTAGTCCTAGTAATGTATACTATAAACTTGGCAGATGCGGCTGAAATATGTCTGTTTCATCATTAATATCCAAATATACTAAAATACTTAAAAGCCCTTTTGGTAAACATGAGCTCACAGCCTGTAATTCAGTATATAGTAGAATAATCACTGCCACTTTTAGGTATTGTTCTGTTAAAACCCATATGTGTGGATGGTGGACAGGGTCAGTGGCCTAAGAGGTACACAGTGTGAAAGCCCTGGATTTGGACTCTTATGGACTTGGGTTCTGATTCCCCTCCTAGCACTCACTCTATGATCACAGATCACAAATGGATCAAATTGATTTACCCTCCATACCTCCCGTACTTGATTGTTATAGAAATAGCATCTATAAAATCCTTTTCAAACCGTAAAGCATGGTATAGGTGCCAGCTGTTGTTATTTTGAGGATGTGAAGAATCCCAGTCACATTCTGTCCATCTGTGCCTTTGCCCTGTCTTCCATAAACCCCATGAAACCAAGGCAGAAGAGGAGACCAGGGGCTCCCTCATGACTAGGATCCTTTTTTTGGTCATATTAGTATCAGGAGTATCTTGTGAAAGGAGGAGAAAAGGGCACATAAGAACAGAGTTTTAGAGGTAGCGCAGTGGTTCACGTGTTGCTTCACTGACCAGAATGATTTGGGTGGTTTGGAGGTGAGACCCCTCCCAACAGCCTCTTTAAAAATGTTCTCAACCTTTGACCTTTTCTGGCCTATCAGGGGTGTGTACCTTGGAGCCACCTTTTTATATAGTGACTGAATACATGCCGTATGGAAACCTACTTGACTACTTGAGGGAGTGCAACCGAGAAGAGGTGAGCGCCGTGGTGCTGCTCTACATGGCCACACAGATCTCCTCGGCCATGGAATACTTGGAGAAAAAAAATTTCATCCATCGGTGAGTGAGCCGGCAGACCTGACAACCACAGGGTCCCCCCAAAGACCCCTGGCGCAGTCTCTCCATAGAGCACCTCAGACCCTAATTGACTCACTAGCCAAGGCCTGGCACCAACTCGGACCCCCTCAGCTTTGATTACTTGCTTAGTCCGCTTGCTCCCCCTGGTGGTGTGATGTAGCAGTTTAGCCTTACCTCTTGAAATGATGGGATGATGTTGTAGGCATCTTTCAGATCATCTTAACTAACTCCATTCCAGTAATAAATATGTAATGTATTAACATAATATCCAATAATGAACATGCACACGCCACACACATATTTTGTGCTTACCAGGGAAATCATTCTTAGGGATTTAGCCTTATTTTGGAACCAACAAAGGCTATAATCACTTGTCTCTCAGTGTTAGGAGAGATTTTCTGTTACGTATAGTTTTTCATAAGAATGCCATTGCTGTCAGCATCTTCTCTAAATCATTACTCTTGAAGACCCTGAAGGAAATATTAAAGACTTTTTTCTTTGCTGTGAATGTAATTATGTTCATGTTCTCTCTTCTACAGAGATTTAGCAGCTCGGAATTGCTTAGTGGGAGAGAATCATGTGGTCAAGGTTGCTGATTTTGGCTTAAGTAGATTAATGACTGGAGACACCTATACTGCTCATGCTGGAGCGAAATTCCCTATCAAATGGACAGCACCAGAAAGCCTGGCCTATAATACTTTCTCAATTAAATCTGATGTCTGGGGTGAGAATGAAAGATATTTCTTTTGGCCTAGATGTATAATTTCTTTGTTTTTTGTAAACGACCCACTCCTTTCTCTAGCATTTGAGTTTTGGTGATGCTCATTTTCCTTTCCTCACCAGATCCTCTGTAATTATATCAGAGTTCTAAAGAGCCTCTGTAAAACTAAACTTTTCCCCTTACTATTTTATGCTTCCCTTTACCATTTTATTAGGGCCTTGTTGACACGATGTTTTCCTGTCTCTCAGAAAAGGATTTAAAGGTGCCTTCTCCCAGCAATGGTCCTGTTCAGTTCTTGCCTCCTCAGGAAACAGTATGGTTCAGTGGCATAAAAAAAGCTTGAAACCGTGATTGTAAATTCTCATCCTAGGTCTAACTGCCTCTGGCCAATTCACTTTTAGTCTCTGTGCTTCAGTTTTTTTATACCTTATAGACTTTTCCCCCTCCTTATAGACTGTTTAGGAAGCATAAAAAGTTGTGGAATAAATTGTCTGCAGCAAGAGCTGTAGGATATTGATCAGTGATCCCAAACTCAAGAATATCTGTGATGCATACCATCAGACTCCTTCCCCTATTTTGAATCTTGTTTGCCATGCACCTCCAATTTTAAAATTAACTGAAACTTCTAGGACTGTTCCTCAAAATGCAAAACACTCTTCAGATACCTTAAAAGGAAGAGTAATGCCTTATAACTATTGAAATAGATGAAGGAGTCCAAAAATAATTTGATGATGGCCCACCCCTTTATATTATAGACTATCTTCTCTGTCTCATGTTTATTTAGTGAAAAACCCAGGGTCGTGCAGCCAAAAATAAAAAAATGTAAATTCGTCCTGGGAGTTTGAAGAGAAAAGTTCTTTCACTTCTAGAGGTGCAGTAGTTACTGTAGCAAATACTATATGGCCAGATTGCAGTAGGAGAGGTTAACACTGGCATATGATGCCCCTCCTCCCAGCCCCCCAAAGCTGACAGTAAAGTTATAACTTATGAGAAAAAGTAGTATTATCAGGAAAAAAGCATGTCTGCTTGTTTTGTTTTTTATTTCCTTGTACAGCCTTTGGGGTGCTGTTATGGGAAATTGCAACCTATGGGATGTCACCATATCCGGGTATCGACCTGTCTCAGGTCTATGATTTGTTGGAGAAGGGATATCGAATGGAGCAGCCTGAAGGGTGTCCACCGAAAGTCTATGAACTTATGAGGGCATGTGAGTACTTTTGCCAGTTTTTATTTTGAAAGATTAAATCAATAACTCAAGATGATTGAAGAAATCTGGAACAGTTTACCTCTCTGGGTTGCACTTAATCCAGAGTCTAGTGGCATTTATTTGGTAGGCCTTTGCTGTTTCCCAGCCAACTGACAAATCACATCACATGTTGTTGGGTCTCATTTAGTCCTGGGAACAATTATCCTTGTACCAGGTGACCCAATTAACCTGAAGAAAGTCGACATCTTCAGCAAAAAGATAAAATTTTCTTTAGACTTTCAAGATGAAAGGTAAGGGAGAGCTTCTTTAAACAACCAGCCACATGATCGTGTGTCTAGCCATTGGGGAGTATTTGAATACAACTTCTTTTGTGAATAACAAGGGTATCTGGTAGACGTAGGAGGTGGGGGAGGGTTAGTGATGAAGAATTAAGCTGTGATTGTGTTAGACACAGGTCATAAAGTTTTTACCTCATTGAGTAATGGTGTCCCCACTGTACTGTTGGCTTGCAATAACTACGAGTTCCTCCTTACTTAAACTGAGATCCAGCTATTTCAATCAGAGATTGAAATAGAACTGATTAGTTGTAAAGACAAAGGGCACTGAGATACCTGGAATATGTCTTTTCCCCAGAAGAAATAAACCATTAGATTATAATCTTGAGGGAAGAAACTAAACCCTGTCGTTTGTGGAGCCCTAGCACATGGAAGCCCCAGTGTTTCAGCTGGCCAGTGGTCCTTCTGGGTCAGTAGCCTGTCATCAAGTTTATGACCTGCTTTGTAAGCACCTTCACATGCATTTTCCATGTCAAGAAATGTTCAGCCTCAATGTTTTTGCTCAGTGTTTATCAGAGGGGAGGAATCTTATTATTAGAAAATTTCAGAGTTGGGAGAATCTACAGGAATTCTTTGCATAACATTATGTAGTCTCCACTTAAAGACCATCAGTAAAGGGCAACTAGTTCTGTTTTTAAACCTAATTACTAGGACATTTTTCTTTATATCAAACCTAAGCTGCCTTTTTCCAGCTTATACATGTGTTCCCTGTTCTGCCCTCTGAGCCCAACGAAAACAGGCCTAATTCCTCTTTGACCCAACAGCCATTCAGATACCTGGAGACATCCTTCATGTCTACCTAAGCCTTAATTTGAAGTGATGATATTCATATAGCTTGATCCCAGTTCCCCTCACCATCCCAGTTACTGTCTTGTAAACACCAACTTGTCAATATCCTTCATAAAATGTGTTGTCCAGACCAGGGCAGAATATAACGAAACTATTAATTCCTTCATACTGTGGATATTTTACCTTTCTTAATGAATCCAAAGATGATAATAATTTCTCAGGGTATTTCATGTCACAACAACTCAGTAAATTTCCAGTCTGCTAAAACTCACAGACCATTTTCATATGAACTATTTTACCTAGCCAAGTTTTTCCTATCTTGTGTATGTGCCATTAGTTCTTCAAACCCCAAGTTCAGGGGTCCTTAACCTGGGAAATCATGAACACCAGCTTCCCCCAGGGATCTCTAGATAGATATAAGGGGAGGGTCTGTAAACTTGGATGTGGAAAAAAATACATTTTTATTTTCACTAACCTCTAACTGAAATTTAGCATTTCCTTCCATTAACATTTTTTGAAAAATTATTCTGAGAAGGATCAATGAGGTTTGCCAAGTTGTCAAAAGGGTCCATGATATACAAAAAAAGGTTAAAAACCCCTACTCTAGTTGATTTTTTTGTCATTGCAGGAAATATTAAACATTTTACCCCATTTCTTATGATATAGGCTGGAAGTGGAGTCCTTCTGACAGGCCATCTTTTGCTGAGACACATCAAGCTTTTGAAACTATGTTCCATGACTCCAGCATATCTGAAGGTGAGTATGGTTCCACTGGTGAAGATGACGCTTCAGCGGAAGTAGATCTTTGTAGTCTTCAGATACCACTTTTTCCACTGTATTAATGCTGATAGTTTTTATTTGTTTAGAGAGGGGAAAAAGAGGGGCATTCTTTTATGTATCTTAGGTCCTTAACATCAAAGTTAAATTTTACTGGTAAATTAATTTGGTAATTTCCTGAGAGAATCAGTTTGATAATTCACTTAATTTGGCAACATTTAAGGCATAGGAACAAGAAGAAAAAGGCACACATTTCAAATCTTCCTATCACTCACCACTCCAGAGGCAGAAACAATTCATAAAGGAACCAAGTTCATGCTTTTAAAACATTTTATTAATTAATCTTATACTCATTGGTATACACAACAGAAGACATCTTCAAAAAGCAACTAATAGAAGGTAATGAAAACAAAAGTGAGTTTTGCCCATTTCCCTTATTATAATCCAAATGACAGGGGGCCATTTCCAGTCATCCTGATCTATATCTTGCCACTGGATCCAGATGGCTCCAGAGGAGAAAGTAAGGCTGGTGACTTTGCACTGTCCTCCCTCACTTAAATCCAATTCACTTGAATGTCATGGCATCATTCCCCTGATGTCATGGTCCCCTTCGAAATCGAAGGACAAACCAAATGAGAAAAAGCAAAGTGCCATCAACAAAAACGTATGAAAAGGATCTTCCTTCTATAGACTCCTGAAGTTGACTAGAATTTGGATGTAGCACAGTTGGTCCTTTGGGCCTTATTTGCTAAATGTATTTCTCAACCTTGTCTTTTCTTGTACTTCCATTTCCTATGTAGTCAAGCTTAGTGCCATGGTCTTCTTGAGCCTGAAACAGGTTTAAAATATAAACTAAAGAAGTAAGATTGTAGCATAAATCAACTTCTAACTCATATTGTATCTTCAGTAAATACTTTTAACTTCTTTAGAAAGTGTTTTTCCCTTTGACCTGACTTTGTTCAACTTAATCATTTTTCTTATAGCTACTGAGACCATTGTCTCCCTTTCAGATGAAAACTTCCAGATCAAAGAATTCCTTGTTTTCAGAAAGCAAATTAATTTTTAAACTGCTCTTTCTAAAGTTTGTGTGTTTATCTCAAAAAGAAACATTTGTAAAATTCACTTCAGCCTAATACATTGGAATCTTCATTTAAGACCTGTTCCAATGAACGTTGCATGTAGATAATTGACACCAGATTGTGTTAAAGGAGCACAGACTTTGGCAAGTCCTTCTAGACTACAAAAGCTTCGAGTATAAGTCAAGCCACAGATTGTGTGTGTTTTCTGAGGACGAGTCTTGCTAAATTCAGACAGCCTCTCACCATAGATTTGGCCACCAAGGATCAGATGTTTTTGTTATGGTAACTAATGAAAACTATCTGCCTCGGTATCATTATTATTATAGTAGCTAACACTTATTCAGTGCTTTACAAATATTATTTTATCCTTAGCAACTCTGGGAGGTAGGTACTATTTTTCAGATCAGGAAACTGAGGCAGACAGCGGTGAAGTGATTTGCCAAGGGTCACACAGCTAGTAAGTGTCTAAGGTCAGATTTGAACCCAAGTTCTGATTCCGGGCCTGATACTCTATCCACTCTGCCACCAGCTGCTTTATGCCTTTTAGGTATAGAAGGGTTATACTTTGCAGTAATGGATAGAATACTCACATCACTGAAACAACGAATCTTTGGAAGTATTAAAATATACTTATGAAAGATTTTGTTAATCTTTGTGAGTTACCATATTCATTTCTTTGTTGGGTTTTCCTGCCTTCCCATTGCTAGTAACAAATACTTTTTTAAAAAAATCATCTGATGCACAAGTTACTAAAATGCCCATGTATTTTGACCACCCAAAGATTCTGCTGTGAAACATGTACCCCAAGAAGGTTATTCCATTTTTAAAAGTCCCTATATATACAAAAATATTTATTGCAGCACTCTTTGTGGCAGCAAATTGCAAATAAAGTAGATATCTACTGATTGGGGAAGAGATAAACAAATTGTAGAATGTGAATGTGATACCGTGTCACTGATGATGATGATGATGATGATGATGATGATGATGAAGAACACATGACTGAGAAGCATGAAGAGCCAAGAAGATAATTGACACAACGATTACAACCACGTCAATAGAAAGAATGACCACAAAACGATAAAAAATAAGTGTTGCCAGATTACAAAGCACAGGCGTGGTTCCAAGAAGAGATGGGAAGATACCCCTGTCAGAACCCTGACTTCTATGCAGAAGGGAGAAGTCCACACATGAGGAACATTGCATGTATCTTTGGATTTTTTTTCTCTTTCTCTTTTTCTTTCAAAAAATTATTTATTAAATGGGATGGCTGTCTGGGAGTGGGAAGGGAGAAGGATACAAGGGGAAATTTAGGTGCTGTAAAAAATACCAGTAAAAACTTGTCTGAAGCAAATTTTCTGAGTTATTTTCAAAAGTAATAAGCATTTAAAAATTTGTAAATCATAAAAATAGTTCCAAAATTTCACAGTTTGTTAAACTCTTCCTGACTATACTCTGATGTCCAAATGATGCTGCTTCAGTGCTTTTGACTATCCAATAAAAGCAAAGTTTTATCTTATAAAGTACATTGCTAAACTACATTTTTCTATTAATAGATCAGCTGTGGCTGACTAATTAAGGGGGCAAGCAGTTTTCTAAGAGCCTAATTTATTTCATTTACATAATGGAACAGATTGTATCCATCCTCTTTTTAGTGTGCAGGTGTAGCCTAAAAAGTTAGTTTGTGGGGGTGGCTATGTGATCTAAGTGAATTACCTTTGAGTTTAAGCGAAAAGGTCACAAACCAGTTTGAATATTCTCTGAGCTCCACGGCTGTGCAAGAGAAGAGGCCACAAATGTAGGAACCAAGAATTCACCACTTGTTCATCTCTTAGTTGCCTCAGATTTTCAGTTTCAATCAGTTTCTCTCCGTGCCTCCCCTTCAGCCTGTCTTCATTCCTCTCTCCCACTTTCTGTTCCTTTCCCCCTTCCCTTCATGTTCTTGACAATTTAAAAAGTATATTTAGTCATCATTCTTCATTGTAACTCAGCCTACTTGATTTTGTGTAGTTATTCACTAATCATGTTTTGGGAGGTACCTCCCTACAATACTCCCTCAATTTGTTGCCTTCTCTAAAACAATTTTCCCTCCCCAAGCTTAGAACGTCGTTCATCTTGGCCTTTCCTCTACCCTTGTGTCTTCTCACAGAGGTAGCTGAGGAGCTTGGGAGAACAGCTTCCTCTTCATCCATCGTACCATACCTGCCTCGATTACCCTTACTTCCTTCCAAGACCAGGACCCTGAAGAAGCAGGCAGAGAACAAGGAGAACATAGATGGGACCCAGGATTCTGCGGAGCCCTCTGCCTCTAGCTCGGCACCAGGTATGAGAGGGATGCAGGTCAAGCCCAGAAGAGACTGAGAAGTGGTGGGGCAGGGTACTGTTCTTTATATCCCTGGGTTGCTGGGATCTCCACTGGGCAAGGATGGTGACAGTTTTGCCCACAGCCTTAGGTGATCCTTGGTCCTGACCCTGCTAAGGAGCCATCTCCAGCTTGGTCCACCTAATCACGTTATTCTGATCTCAAATAATAAATGCCTTGGTAATTCTGGGAAAAGAGTTACATCAAGTCCAACCAGCAGTGCCAAATTCAGTTGTGGTTTTTCAGGCCATACGTGAGAGATTGTTGTTATTAGAGAAGTAGCCCTTCCTCTCTCCACCCCCCTCCTCACCCTCACTCATTTATGAGCCCTCTCACCTTTCACATTGCTGGGAATTCAAATATACTACTTTAACAACCTTCATTCTACAGATATTATACAGGTACTGCCCCTGGAGCAGACAGTAACATCTTTGTGTTATCATCTCACTGACTGTGGTTATAGATTTAGCTTTTGCTTATTTTTGTTCGACCATTTTCTTCAGGGTTTATTAGAAGCACACAGCCTCCTAGTGGGTCCCCAGCACTGCCTCGCAAACAGAGAGACAAGTCACCTAGTAGCCTCTTGGAAGATGCCAAAGAGACAACTTTTACTAGGGACAGAAAGGGAGGCTTCTTCAGCTCCTTCATGAAGAAGAGAAATGCTCCAACACCTCCCAAACGCAGCAGCTCCTTTCGTGAAATGGAAAATCAGCCTCACAAGAAATATGAGCTCACGGGTAACTTCTCATCTGTTGCTGCCCTGCAGCACACTGATGGGTTTTCTTTTACTCCTGCCCAACAAGAGGTGAATCTGGTTCCCCCTAAGTGTTCTGGGGGGAGCTTTGTCCAGAGGAACTTTTGTAGTGAGGATGGCGGTGGTGATGGCGGCAGTGGTGATGGCGGTCCTGGTGGTGGTGGAGGAGGAGGAGGAGGGGGGAGTGGAACCACTGGTGGTGGGTGGTCAGGCATCACTGGCTTCTTTACACCACGCTTAATCAAAAAGACATTGGGCTTGCGAGCAGGTAAACCCACTGCTGGTGACGAAGCTTCCAAGCCTTTTCCAAGGTCAAACTCTACATCTTCCATGTCCTCAGGGCTTCCAGAGCAGGATAGGATGTCAATGACCCTTCCCAGGAACTGCCAGAGGTCCAAAATCCAACTGGAAAGGACAGTGTCCACCTCTTCTCAGCCAGAGGAGAGCACGGGTAGGTCAAGTGACCTGATTCCCAAAAAGTTAGAGGATGGCACTGCCCTGTCCAGAGAGAGACCAAAAGCCAAACTTTTACCCAGAGGCACCACAGCTCTTCCTCTCCGAACCCCGTCAGGGGATGCAGCTGTTCTAGATAAGGACTCAGCAGGGTCAGGGGCCACCTCTGTCCCTAAGAGCAAAGAGAAGAATGGTGCAGCCCGGCTCGGGATGGCAGGACTCCCAGAGGACGGAGAAAGGCCAGGGTGGTCGTCTCCAGCCAAGGCTGCACCAGTGCTTCCAACCACTCACAACCACAAAGTGCCAGTTCTCATTTCGCCCACTCTGAAGCATGCTCCAGCTGATGTCCAGCTCATTGGCACAGACTCTCAGGGGAATAAATTCAAGCTCCTATCTGAGCATCAGGTCCCGTCTTCTGCCGATAAGGACCGACCACGACGGGTAAAACCAAAGTGTGCTCCACCTCCACCCCCAGTGATGAGGCTTTTACAGCACCCACCTACATGCCCAGACCTCACGGAAGAGCAGAATACCCCTGTTGGAGGGCAGCCTGGACCAGAAGTGCATGAAGGTGGAAAAAAGGCAGCAGCAGTGACAGCACCTGTCAGTGCAAAAGCTGGGAGGCCGGTGATGCCTCCACCTCAAGTGCCTCTGTCCACGTGTTCCACATCACCTGCAAAAATGGCCAATGGCACTGCAGGCACCAAAGTGGCACTGAGAAAGACCAAGCAGGCTGCTGAAAAAATCTCAGCGGACAAAATCAGCAAAGAAGCCCTGCTAGAATGTGCTGACCTGCTGTCCAGTGCCATTACGGAACCCATGCCCAACAGCCAGTTGGTAGACACTGGACACCAGCTGCTGGATTATTGCTCAGGCTACGTGGATTGCATCCCACAGACTCGCAACAAGTTTGCTTTCCGGGAAGCTGTGAGCAAACTGGAACTCAGCCTGCAGGAGCTGCAGGTGTCCTCAGCCGCTGCTAGCCTGCCCGGAACAAATCCTGTCCTTAATAACTTACTGTCGTGCGTCCAAGAAATCAGTGATGTGGTGCAGAGGTAGCTACTGCCAACCTGGCTGGAAGACACGCTTTCTGTTGATCGGGACGGGGAAAGGGACTCGTTTTTTCCTGTGTTCTTGCTTTCAAAAATGAAAGACTGATACTTGAGTGAGTTCATGTGAAGTACCTCAGATCACTGAGTTCTCACGTTTACAGGTTCATCTCAGAAGTTACAAACATACACAAAGTGCAGGGGAGGGGAAGGAGGTAAGGTGGTGACGACAGGCAGGGTTTAGAAGCTGAAGAGGTGGCCTGTCGGGAATTACCCTCATTGGAAAATCAGGTAATACGTGTGTGCTGCGCCGGAAAGAGAAGTCAGACCCGCTTCCCCTGGTGTTGGGAGGGCTTGTCCATCCTGGGCGGGGACAGGTCTCATCTCAGTAAGGGGGCAGGGAACTTCCCCTGAAGGCCCTCAACACTGGAGTGGCTGTGAGGCTCACACTCTTTGCACTGGACGAAGGGTTTTATCCTCTGCAAGTTGTCTCTTTGGACACGTAGTGGTGACCATTCTGGCACTGACCCTAAGGTGACATTGATTGGGTCAGGAAAAGAGGGAGATGCCCCGAGAGTGGCTGCTAGCGTTGTCTCCACGGTGTCATTGCTGCTGTCTCACAACTGCAGAACAATTTTAGGACCTCCGCCCTCTCTGCGCCTCCATCGTGTTTCTGTTGTTTCCAAGCGAGCTGTGCTGGCCGGTCTAACCAGGATCCCTTTGTCTGGCCCAGGTGCTAGCTGGCATTCACTGATGCTTCAGAGCTGCCGCCCTGCTGGTCAGTGTCAGCAAGCTGTGGGCATCATTATGATTAACAGACAGTGGTTTCCTCCAGGCCCTTGCTGGGCAAGATGCCCTCTGTGTTCTTTATTAGCATTCGGAATATTAACACAATAACACAATAACTGGGCATGTCAGTTGTCAGGCTGCGGGCTTCCAGAGGACTCCTTTTCTCTGCTGCAAGTATCACCATGATGTTCACACACATACATATGCACGCGTGTGCACGTGTGCGCACGCACACACACACATTTTTGGCTCAGGTGGATAGGGTACCTGAGATGTTTTTTGGATTCTTCAACTTCCTAATGTACTGTTGGGGAGGGAATATGTTCAGGAGTTTGACACATTTTCCTAAAAGCTTGCTGTAGTAATAATAGCTAAAGTTCAGTTAGTTCTTTGAAGTTTTACAAGGGGCTTTAAACAAAATGTCGGGCCCATACATGGGGTTTGTAGCTCCCTCTCTGAAGCTTATCTAGAAGATCAGATAATTTTGGAAATCACTGTTGGATTCTGATTTTTCCCCCAACTCTCCGCTAGATTGTCTTTCATAGGGCACTCAATGGTCACTGCCTCTCAGGGCCAGTGTGCCAGCCTTGGTGAGTGGAGGGTGCCTTCCCATCCATGAGCTTTTACTTTCTTGGGACCTTCTAGATTGATAAACCCCTCGGGGATCTAGTCAACATCACCAGAGCCAGTTCTCACACGTGCTGCTATAGCATCTGCCTCTCATGTTTGTCCTGATTGATGGAGCTGTTTTGTTTGTAAGAATCAGATTGAAAATGTTTGTCTTACCATGGCATCTTACCCCACTTGAGGGCATCCAGAACTTCAGGGAACAGTTCTTTGCAGGAAAATATTACTTAGACCCAGGGAATTTTGGTTGGAATTAGAACTTAGTATTCTGCTCTAGAAAAGAAGATGGCATTTTCATTTTCGTCTCAGATCTAAGTAGGGAAGCTTATTAGGATTCAACAGATATGAATCAGAGGGATGAAGTGTTATTAATTCTGTAAACAGAACACCATTACCTTTCTGCTACAGGCTCCGTCCAAATCTGTTGGAATCCCATTAGGAACAGAACACCCATTTTGCAACTTTTTTCCCTCCAGTGGAACATCACCTTAGCTTTATAAGATTGGAGTCAAATGTTCAATACTGAGTTTTCTTTCCATCACTATTTAGCTGTCCCAGGCTTATTTTTTCATCTTTTAATTGAATATAATACTTGTTTTTTAGGGGATTATTAAAATTGTGGAGCTATCCCTTGAACTTCTCTGTTAAAAGACCTTTAGTGCACAGTGCTTTCTTGGATGGTTTTTCTTTCTTTTCATGCTTCAATACCAGCTGTTAATGAAATTTAGAACTGTGCTGAGCCCTATGAATAATGCTAGAGCTGTAATGGGCCACAGTATTTTGGTTGGAGGTTTAGGTCTTTGACCAGGGGAAGACAGTGATGTTTTTAATTAGAAGGAAAGCAAACTGGGTTATTTAATCATCATCAGAAAGAGGCAAGGTATAAAGGAAACTTGAGAGGAAGAAAAAAAGCATCCTATTTTTTCTTTCAGATGTTTCTGTATTATCTTTCTTCACAGTACCTGCCAGTATAGTACATGCAGTATGTAGCCAAGTTAATTTAACTTTTTCCTCCTTGGGGTCCACACCTTACATCAAATATGGTAAAGAACAAATCCCATGAGGGTTGCATTCTTCCTTTAGGAAAAGGAGGCAAAAATGTTTGATCCGTGTCACTTAATCCCAGTTGCCTCAACGAAAAAAAAAAAAAGTTGTTTCCTGAATTAAGCTTTTTCCTAACACTGGAGGTGTTTCAGTTCTTCCTTACCAAACTCTACGGTCATCCTTGATCAGTGATGACTTGTGGTAAATAGGGCCAGGTTCACTCTGGTCTGTTATGCACTCCAGTACATAATAATATGTCCTACTGCCCTTCCCCAGGAGTTTGAAAACAAGCCCATGATTGTGTTTGGGAGTACTGAAGTGAGACTAATTACAAAGGTCTTCCTTTGCTCCTGTTGGTGAATTCTAACCAAGACTGTCAGTGTTTTCTTGTTTGTTTGTTTTAGGATGAGAAAACAAATTAGAATTTAGGAATTGATTATGCCACTTTTCAAGTTTTCCCCAGAACAAGAGTGTGAAGTTAGGGCAGTGTAATTGTTCCTTTAAAGAATGCTCTTCTTTAGCAGAATCTTCTTCCATAAAAGTGCTGAAAACAAGACTTGGAGAAAGACGCACTGCTCTCTTTAAGAGTCCTCGTTTTCCACTGATGGCTAGTCACACATTGACTAGACACTGCCTAGACTAGCAATGACCTTGGCAGCATGGGCCAACCTATCCACCCTCCTTCCAGGGGGACTCTTGGAGACCTCAGCCGTGCACTTTCAGGACTCTAGTCAGTTTTGGGCTCTAGTCAGACACTGTCAATTTGTTCTACAAATAGAACTTAGTTTTTTTGGTGTTTTTGGTTTTTTTCCCAAAGCAAGTAATTTTGGATTCAGAACCATATAACACTGTTCGTGGAGAGCTCTAAGAGCCAATGACTAAAACTATAGTTTGATTTCTTCATCTAGTCTAAGGAAAAGGCAAGGGGAAAAAACACAACTAATAAATGGCACTGAAATTGTTTCTTGAAGGGTCAGTTATGTTTTTTTTTTAATTAGTCATATAAGCTGCCACTGCTTGAGTTCATTCATGTACAGGCTCACACATGATATGGATGTTGTGGATTCCTGTTATATAATTCCTGAACTGTATTTCCCATCAGAAACAATATTGATCTGTCCACTACAGTTTGCCTCACTTTATACAATAGATGTCTTCATTAAAGGTAAAATTAAAACTTGTTTACTGAATTCTATTTTCCCACTAACTTCCATTATAATTTTCAGAGATATGTGCTTATGGGAAGAAAAAAACATTTTTGAATATTGGTCCAAATATAGGCCACTCTTTTCTTTCTACCCTTCAACTCTTGGAAGAAAAATTATGGCTTTTATAAAACCTATATGTGAGCTGTAACTAGGCTTTTAGTACCATGGACAGCTTAAGTCTCATTGGTCTTCCAGAACAATCTATAGCAACAGCTTCCCCATTGGCTTAAACACACATTAATGGGGTTCATGCCAGTTGTACCTATCTACAGCATAAGTAGCAACTGAAAGTAATATTACTCCCTTACCATGCAACCCTGTCCTGAATCCCTTGAGATATGTCTTACTACAAAGTCTAGCTACTGTTCCTCCCTTTCCTTTTTCACCCAGGGCCAGAAGGGACTAGTCAGGGTGGATGATGAAAGAGGACTGTCTCAGTGTGTCTTAACCAAAGAGATTGCTTTTTGTCCCAAGCCTCTGACTCCATGGAGCATAATGTTAGAGAGTAGAAAAGTAGCAGAAAAGGGAGTCCTCCCCAGCTTTGCAGCTGGCTTAGGGGTTGACATGGATAGAATCAAAGAAGAAGGCTATCAGTGGGGAGGAGAGAAGAAGAGTGACCATCTGTGGTAACCTACCACACTTGAAAAAGTCCCACTTCCCGTGGTTATTTGCCATTCTAAATTAAGTCTCACATTTTTGTGTGGCAAAATCTTATTTGCTTTTAAGGGAAAAAAACAAAATAAGTTTCTCCCAAATAGGTTGGTGATTTTTAGTATGGCAATTTTAAATAATTAATATAATGTATACTTGTGTATTTTGCTTTTAAAATTTTACTTTTTTGGGTATGACGTTTATATCAGTATGGCAATCAGATTCACACTTAATTCTATTTACTTTAAGGAACATTCTGTCTTTTGGTAAAGCACATACTGTATGTGTTTAGTTAATCATAGCCTCTTAGAACCGCCAAGGTTCTTACAGATCATCTCATCCAACCCCTCTCATTTTTCAGATGAGACACACAGCTTAATTACTGTCTTATGATTGTACAGTGAGTTAGTGGCATATCTAGGTCTAAAACCCAGTTCTCCTGATTCCTCATCCATTGCTTTTTTCCCCACACACACACTAGAATGCCTTACATAAAATTTTGCAATAATAACTCCCATTTATATAGCGCTTTAAGGTTTGTATAGCACTTTTCCTCATAACTCTGTGAGGTAGCTAGAGCAAGTTATGACTCCCCCGCCCCCCTTTTACAGATGTGGAAGCTGAGGTTCTGAGAGGTTAACTAACTTGCCCCTGGTTGCACAGTTAAGTGGCTGAGTCTCCGACTCCAACCCGAGTGTTTTTTCCATTATACTATGCAAGAAAGGTTATTCAAGTAGACAGTCCATGAGGTCTACAGTAATACTATAAAACACTACCAAAGTCCATTTTATTGGGAGTTCTCATTGACTAAATCGGATTCAAATGTTTAAATAAGTCACATTGTTTAAGTTATTGCCCTAAATGTTAAACAGAACTCACTAATTTTAAATATTCAGGTTCAAAAGTCATGCAAGGATGCTTCCCCCTCACCCTCTTACCCACACCCAACAGAGCTCAGGCATTATTTGCAAATAATAATTTTCATGTTCATAGTAAAGTGCTCTCTTTGGGGAGGTGGGAGGCGGGAATCTGGAAAATATCCTTATCTGGAGAAGTACAGATTGGAAACAATCACTTCCCTAATTAATTGAATAAATTTGAAACTGATCAGTGAATATGTGCAGAATGAGATTGGCCTTAACTCCAGCTGTAAGCTAAGGCTGTCCAAACTTGAAAAACTTGGGGCTAACTTTTCTGTTAAAATGTTACAGCAATTCAGAAAGCAACAGTTCATGTTTTCCTATTGCTGAATAGAGAAACTCTTCTCTGGGCCTTGTTTTGATGAAATGAGGTGCTGTCACTCTTGAACAGCTATCTTACACAAACTGAGAATGTTTAGTTATCTAAGTGTGGTAATAAGAAATTTGATACAAGTTGATGTTGACCAAGTCCGTTTAAAACTGTGCCCTGCATTATTTTTGTTTCTGAGGATGGTCATTCTCTTTATTTGGGGGAGGGGGGGACTGGGAGTACCTTTTCCTTGTATTTCAGTGTCTGGAGTACAAGTCATCACTAAACAAACTGTTGAGAAATGCTTCTTGAGGAATTTCTTCCCAGTATTCCATACAGTTTATAAATTTGCCATTTATCAGCTATCATTTTTCAGTGTAGTTGAACACAGTTCTTTGCTTCTTTGATCCTAAAACACCTAAGAGTAAATTCTAGTGGCTGTAATTTTGAGTCATAATCCTACATCCTAAAATCTGCAGTTAAGAACCTGAAGTCTTCTATCTCCCTTCCATTTTTATTAACTCATTAGTGTGCCTCCAAGTAACTAATTATGGAGCTGGCTCAGAATGAGTTTACAGGGTTATCTCTTCTTTGGATTATTATTATTATTATGCTTTTGCTATTTTGTCACTATATATCCCTTTGTTACATTCAGATTTAGACTTTATATACTAGACTTCTGAATAAGAATGGCTTAGAGGTAAAAGATACAGCACCGTGGCAGAAGCTGGCCTTTCACACATCATAGCATCTTTCCCCCCTTTTGGAAGTACAGATTTAGGTTTCCTTTAGTAAATGTTGGGTTTTTTAACCAGCTGCACATGCTTCCTAACAATTTCTGTGATTACATCTGAGCTAGTTACAAACTGTTATAACCATATGAAATGCCTAGCCCATTGGAAGATTAGGATATCATTGAAAATGCTTGTTTCCATTTGAAAATAAAATGAGAAGTAGAAATTTCTTGAGAAGAGAGCCCACAGCCTTCTGAGAACCGTTCTGTACTAAGTGGTATTAGTATTGGTTGTAAAGTTCCAACCTAAGTGGACAGTACCTCACTAGTCAAAAAGGAGGTGTGGTCTAGGTCTGAGCTCTTTTCCACTTGGCAGTTATCTGGGGCTCACTTTATACCATACATGGAAGGAGGCTTTGGTTTTTAAATGTGCCAGCATAAAACAGTGCAGGGTTTTCAGTTCACTTCAGCGTTTTAATGAGGCCGTTGTTCTCTGCAGCCCCAGCTGCTGGTCCTGTTCTGTTGGAGCACAAATCACCTCAATTCACCTGTTCCTTGAATGCTTTCTTCCTGGATGGGAACACCTGGAGAATTGTAATACTAGGAAAAGTCTTAACCCTATCCTGTTCCTCCCCAGAGCCTCCAGCAAGGGTTTCCCTAATCTGGGGTAGTTTAGGAAGGTACTATTAATGAATCCTGGTGCAGGAGGAGATTTCCCCGACAGTGCTAATAGGCTTTGATGCCTCCTGTGCTGTGTAACACTCGAAAGTATTGTGTACTCCACCAGACTGACATGCCAGTATGACATTTATTTCACAACATAGTCTATTCCCAAGGTGTTTTTCTTGGGTGCCAATGAAAGATAGTTTATAAAAGTCCTTTATAATTATAAGGTGTGAGGGGGGAGAATAGATCTTATGCCCCTCCAAAGAAAAGGAAGACTACATCAAGATATAGTAAAGTTAGGTTGGTAACATGGCTAAAACATCTCCATAAAACCAAGTCCGTGAGAACGGACATTCTGTTGTGTTGGATCTCATAGAAAAAATTCTGGCTGCCAGCTTGATTTTTTGCACTATTGTTGAGCCTGTGCAATAGAGCTCTTCGTGTTACAAGTGTGTTCTCTTCACACTAATTTGTTGGCTGGGGCAGAAGAGTATGTTACAGCTCATCCGTTCCTTCCCTTACCAGCTCACTGGTTTCTTTACACCTAAGTTCACTTGTGTATTTGAAATTGTTAAAAGCCTTTCCTATAAGATGCATGTCATTAAAAGAAAGACCACTCCCATGCTTAGAAACTCCACGATAGTGATATGGTCCCAGTTAATTAGTCCAAAAGGGACTGATATATCACAGATGCTTTTCAAAACCAGTAAGAGCACAATCCTGTTTTGAGTCGTAGAGAAGCTTGTTCGAGTGTTTTCTTGGACACCTCTGGTTTTGGGTTATCCTGTTATGTGCCCTCTCTAGGAAAGACTCCCTTATCTTTCATCGGTGTATATTAATGCACACTCCATGTTGTTTCATTCCAAAAGTTATCCTATAAAAATCAGTATAGGAAATTAAGCTGTGCCACACAGATTTTGAGGTCTCTGAGTTCACTGATTTTTAAATACTTCATAAGGAAGAGCAAAAGAAGTAAGCTTCTAAGAGCTGTCTGACTTTTTAAAAAGAGTAAGGTACTGTTCTGTAAATTCTATAAATCTGCTAAATTCTCCCTTGTACTTGATCCTTCAGCGTGATATACATAAACCATGTAAATACATACAGTAAACTCTGGTATCTGGTGTGATTGGGGTATTCTGGTCATAGTGTCTATATTTCTAATACATTGTTAGAATTTTCAGAAGTATCAAAATCAAACAGATAACAGACTACACTGAAAATAATTTAATTGATGATTCAGAAGGCACTTCAGGTACTTGCCTTTGAGTCATAGATAGCAGTGCCTCAAGGTCGTCATTGTAAACACTACTTATCATTGTACTGTAGATGCACCTAAGTAGCAGTCACTACATTTCTGGTTAATAGAATGCTAGATAAACAAGTTTTTACAGTGTCCTGTTGGGTCATCACAATCTGTTGGTCAGTACTCCAAAAAAGGAGCTAATATGCTGTAAGGATTACCTTGAGAAATATGGATTTTTCAGCAGCTGGAACAAGGCGTGGGAAGCATAAGCATTGATTTTTAAATGATGGTTTTATTATTAAAGAAGCATCTACCGAGACCCTTGTCTCACATCTTCTAGGGGCTGGTGTATGTGTTTGCCATTGCTGTACATGTGAAGAAGGTAGAGAAACAACATCATAAGATTTTACTGTTATCTCCCGTATTGTACAAAGGAGGAAACTAAGAGACAGAAAGGATCGGAGTACAGGCAGCTAACAAGCCAGTTTCTCTTTTGTGAACACAATCAGAGCAGATGCCATCCTGCAGCATTTGCCATGAGCCACCCAGCCAGATGCTTAAAGCATGCTCAGAAACCTCCTGTCTCCTATTGTGGATCCTATATTTTCTCTCCTTCTGCAGCTGGATTCTTTTCCCTTGGTTGACATTGGAGAAAAGCCCTGTCTTAACTGATGCCCACTGGATAAAAATGAGGTAGTGCAACCCCTTGGGAGTGGGGGGGTTCTATATAATGAAACACTTTTTTTTTTTTTCAGTTTATAAAATGAAATATTTATACCAAAGGTCACACTTCCCAGCTGTATGTGTTGTGCACAAAGAGCAATGATTCAGATCATTTCAGCACAGTTTGTATTACTAGTGAATACAATGGAGAAAATATTGGATTAAACTGAAAACACGTTAATCACAGATTACACTACCAGTGTTGTCAATTGTTTGTTTTTTAATGTTATTGTAATATATTTTGTTTTTCTAATTTAATTCTCTCACTCTGTTGTCTGACTGTGAACTGCTAACAGTGTTAAACTTGATGTAAATAAACAAGGCCCTTGGAGTGGGTCTTCTTTCTGCCTGTTGTTCCACAAGGTTTTGCCAATTTGCATTTTGTTTTAAATAAAGGTTGCAATATTTTATTGGCAAAATGTTTTGTGTGCTGTGTTTCCATGGAAGCTGGTAAGCATACAAACAAGACGAAGGGTCAATCAAGGTGTAACTATAAAGTATTGACTTTTTTTTCCCCAACATTACACACATTTCTCTGCAGTGTTGGCAAATATTTGTCCTTTGAGGGTAGGTCTTATTTTTTTGTTTTTGTTTTTAGGCAATTGGGGTTTAAGTGACTCGCTCAGGGTCACACAGCTAGTAAGTGTCAAGTGTTTGGTCTGAGGCCGGATTTGAACTCGGGTCCTCCTGAGTTCAGGGCTGGTGCTCTATCCACTGTGCCACCTAGTTGCCCCTAGATCTTATTTTTTTCTGAAAGAAGTCATCAGGACACAAATCTGGTCAATACAGTGAAGTCATCAAGCCAAGTACATTGAGGTGTAACCTTAACAAGACTAATTTTGTTGGGAGGGGGAGGGTGACGGGCCTCAAAATGACTGTGTCTCGGGTAATTACAAAAAACAAGGACTTCAGAAATGCATTGTCTGATGGCACAAATGTGTGGTGTGATCTAATGTGACTATTCTCAAGTCATTTTGAGGGTAGAGTAACGTTGAATATGTGAGTCTATGTATACACATGATTATATCTGGTTTAACTTCTAGATATCTTAAATGAATTGAACAGTGAGCTTCCAAAACCCAGACTTAAGCCAAAGAAAATTGCTAACTATCTTGCCTGCACATAGTGCTTTCTTACTCTTGTATGCCTAACATTAACAGCATTAATTCACCTAATTTTGGTTTGGGCCACTTCACCTTGTTTTTAGGCAAATCCAAAGGGCTGCACCTCTTGTGATCTTTCCTCCCCCTGAATTAGAGTTGTGTGTCGTTTTGTTATATAAAGATCAGCAGGTCCTATGGATATTTATCTAGTGCATATGGCTTATTTTACAGATAAGGAAACTGAGAGCTATAGAGTTTAAGTGACTTGAATGAATAAAAAAGCATTTATTGAGCATCTGTTATGTACTAGGCATAGTGTTTGGTGCCAGGGCTAGAAATACCAAAGTGAGACAATTCCTGCCTCCAAGGAGTTTATATTCTATTGGAAGCAACACAGATTAGGGGAGTGGGGGTGAGGGAAGGCGGCTTTGGTCCAAAGAACCAGACGAGTAGTGATGAAGCTAGAGAGGAACCAGTTGTCATGCACTCTCCAGAAGTAATAGTAGTGCTGATTACTGTTGTCTGAATAAGAGGTGAAAAGCTGGGAGGAAGAGGCATATAATGGCACATATTAATAGTGCTGGATATACCCAGAGTTACACAGGTATGAAGCCTGAATTTGATCCAGGTCCTCAGATTTCATATTTAGTGGTCTCACCACCACCCAATATGATGCAGTAGATTGAGTCAGGAGAGCCCTGGGTTCAAATCTTCCTTCTGACTTTAACTAGTATGACCATGTGCATATCACATAAGCTCTCTGAACTCATTTCCTTATCTGTAAGATGGAATTTATCTTATTCCTACCTTGTTACAGGAACAAATGAGATCTCTCTGTAAAGCACATTGTCTATTTTTAAGTGTTAGGTAAATATCAGCTGATGTTATTTCTACAAGTCAAAGTTGGTAGTGGTTCCTGGGGAAAGAAGCAGGCTTCCCAGCAGAAGCTTCAGGTAGCCAAAGATCCAGTCCCACCGTTAGCTTCATGGCAGAACTGGACATGGCAGAAATGGTCCAGAATAGCCTTTTGAGCCTCAGCCCACAGGTCATCTACACTAGGTTCTTGGTTTTCCTGAAGAATTCTCATCTTTAGGTTCATATCACTCAATGTGATAATCTAGAATCAAAAAATGTGGCTAGGCCGGTGCTTTTCTTTAATGGATTGAGGGTAGGATTCCTAATTGTCTTTTTTTTTTCCAGAATCATGCTTGCTCCCTTCCAAAACATAATCTATCTTTGAATTGGACTATCAGAACCCACTCAGTGTGTGCTGACTGGCCTCCCTCTAGTGCAGCCTCAAATTTCAGCTTTGCAAGAAATCACAAAAGATTTTAGGAAAATATAAATTTTTAATCTTTACACATCTAACATAAATTCTGTCTTCCTCTTCCTCCCCCCAACTTTAAAAAAAAGTTAATTCCCTTTAAAAATCTGAAGCAACAGAAAAGCTGTACTAATGTTCCCCTGGCGATTAGACCTTGCCGGCACTGGCTAGAACTGTCTCGCTTTCCCTTCTTGAATTCCCACTGGTTATACCTGGGATGTTCCAATGACACAACTTGGAAGCAAGGGCTCTTAACCCCTATTTAAGTTAGACCTCATTTTCTCCTTAGTTCTGGACTTCTTTAAGAGCCATACAACTAGGATTCACTTTCACTTTAAACACGTCAACTTCTCACTTTACATATTGTCCTTCTTTGTATATAAACCCTCCCTTTCCACTGTCCAGCAGCCACTGTTCACCCCATGGAAGGCTCTCCTAAAAGGCACCAAAATAATTTTAAGGACTGGGAAGGAGCCCTTCTTCAGACACCCAACAGCTATGTGATTGCTAGAGCTCAGGCTTTTCTTCCTGCCCTACAAAGCCCAAAGATAAAAGGGTCCCATAGTTGATATTCCTGCAGGAGTCTGGGTGTCAAGTGATGTTCTGGGAGGCCTTTTGGTCAGTGGAGAGGTAAAGAACAGGCTTGCTCTGCTTTCATGCAGTCTTCTCACACGGCCCTCAAGGCAGGAAGAGGTTGATTCTCTGGGAGATGGACTTACAGCCTTGAGCAGAGAAGAGTTTCTCTTCCTTGGGTACATACACCATCATCTTGGCAATTTTGTCCAGTGCCTCTTCAGTATACTCAAGGTCCCGGCCCTGGAAAGCATCTCGAGCACACAATTTGACATGATGGTACTCAAGTGGCAAGAAGGGGACAAAGAAGTCGATCAGGTTTTCCTTCACAAGTTGGCTGTGGCCAAAGTTGCTATCTGTAAACAAGATCCAATGTCATAGAAGCCCTCACACCTTGTGTCCTGTACCTCCTGAAGCTTTCAGGAGGCCAGGGACAGAAGGATTACTGCTTTTGTTAAAAAATTACATAACCTTTGCCAAAGTGCTGAGGGTCAGTTTCCCACTCTCTGCGTCGTAGAAGAGAAAGGCCATTCACATCAAAAGACCTCTGGGGCCATTGTCTCAAATTCCTCTGTTAGAGAATCTTTATAAAGGACCAGTTCAGCTTCCCTCGTATATGCTCATACTCTCCCCTCCCCTCATATACACTCACATGATTTGGGGCAAAATCAGGTCTAGGAAATGGAAGATTCATATCTGTCCCGCGCTGGCAGCAAGGTGAACATTTAGTAACTGACTCCCTCCCTCCCACACCTATTATCACAAGGGCTGCCTAGCTGCCCGGCACTCTCTCACCCCTAATAACTGCCTGACTTTGATTCAGGCTGGTTACCTGTAGACTTCAGAATGTCAGCCTGGAGGTAGGGCTCTAGGTCTTCCATGGTGATCTCTTCCCTGGAGCGTCCTGCCCTAAGCCAACTCAGGACCACTTCATTGATGGTGTTGCCCCCAAGGTTACTGGAAAGGCACGAAAGGGCTTGTTATTTTTCTCTCCTCCTGTTTTTGTACCTAAACACCTTCCAACAAAATAGTGCATTTGTTTGCGGAGGGTATGGCAGAGCCCTAATTTTCCCCAAAAAATCTTATTCTAAACTAAAAGTTGGAGACGGGAGAGATTGCTACATCGCCTAAGTAGCATTGACGCAGCCAGGACCTAACAAGTTCAAGACTTCTCTATGACTCTAGGGTCAAATCATAAGATCATACATTTAGCACTGGAGCTGATGTCAACAAGCATTTATTAAGCATCCACTGCATGTCAGACACTGCTGGAAATAGAGAGGAAGGTACAACAGTCCAAGAAGCTGTCAGTCTGATATAAGGACTATATGCAAACAACTATGGTATCAACATGGTAAATACAGAATAAATTGGAAAAAAAAATCTCGGAAGCCACTTAAAATTAAGTAGGACTGTAAATCTAAGGTTCTCTAGTCAGTCCCTCCTTTTGTAGACAAAATAACCGAATCTTAGAGAAGCTCAGTGAGTAACCCACACACAGATAGTAAAGTAGCTGAAGAATCAAAACTCAAACCCAAGTCCTGACTATATCACCAGTGCCTCTGCTTAATCTCTTTTCAAAATGTACATAATAAAGTCTGAAGAATTTAGCTCACTGGGTTGTTGTGAGGATCAAATGTGATGGAGGGGAGAGGGAAAGAGAGATAGATTGAGAGAATGCGCTTTCCAAACCTTAAAGCATCATATAAATGTCCCTGGTACTTACTATTCTCCCTGTTCCCTAAGGCTTCTAAGGTGCTGAAAGTACCTGAGACAAATGGAGAATCTTAGCATAATGGAATGATCATAAACTACAATGAAAGGGGTCAGAGATCGTATAGCTCCTCACCTAAGGGATGAATTCCGGCACTCTACATAAAGATGGTCTCCAATTTGCAGACGGGGAGGCTTTGTAACATGTATAAGATTATTTGTATGGATCAACTTCAACTGGAATCTTAAACCCTCCGTATGTATTATCTCCCACATTAGAATGTGAGCTTTTTGAGAGCATGTACTGGCTTACTTTTATGTTGTATCCGAAGTGCTTTGTACATAGTAAATGCTTATAAGTGCATTCATTCATTCAGTCTAGGTCTTCAGCTTTCTATTTCAGGTCATTTTCCACCATGTTGTTCAGTTTTTCAGTCAGGTCCGACTCTTTGTGACCCCATTTGAGATTTTCTTGGGAAAGATACTGGAGTGGTTTGCCATTTGCTTTTCCAGCTTATTTTTCAGATGAGAAAACTGAGGCAAACAGGGTTTTAAGTGGCTTGCCCAAAGTCACATAGCTAGTAAGTGTCTTGAGTTTAGATTTGAACTGAGGAAGTTGAGTCTTCCTGACTCAAGGGCCAGCCCTCTGTCCACTGTGCCATCTAGATGCCCTATTTTCCACCATACTGCCACTTTACACAGTAACACTGAACTTAGGATCATAAACTAGCCCTCATACTGTGTCATTTAGGTCAAGTCATTTCACTGCTCTATGCTTTTAGCTGTCAAGTGGTAATTATAATATTGGACCTATCTATTTCCACCAAGTCATTGTGAGAAATTTGCTTTGTAAACCTTAGAGTGCTATAGAAATATGACCTATTACTAATATCATCAATATTCAGGGTCTAGTTGTTATTGTAT